TTTTAGAGTCTGCATATGGATCCCCTGGTCTAGGGGGATCAATTATTTTCACAGATGAGGCAACAAACTCCTAAAAGGGTGTGTGTCGTGCTCAAGGTCACACAGTCACCTGGGGACAGAATCAGGACTCAAACGGAGGCCCTGGCTCCCTCCCCTCCTGCACTGGAACAGAGTTGCCTTCAGCACTGGGCAGAGAGTGGGGTCTCCAGGGAGGAGTCCCTACGTCAGGGCCCCCAGAGAGCCTTTCTTAAGACTCATGCCTTCTATTTTCTTTCCTAGACATGTATTGCTGCCAGGATAGCGCAGGGGGGGCAAAGGATGGCATTGAGGCACACCAACAGGAAACAAAAGGCTGCAGGGTCTGGGTTTAAATGCACGACAAATGTAAGGTTGAGAGAGAGAGAGAGAAAGAAGAGAGAGGAGTGGGGAGAAAGAGCAAACAATAGCAAGCACCCTGATGAAGAGCTTGGGGCTGCGCTGTTTGATACGTGAGCCTGGGGGGAACTCAGTAACAGTCACATCACCCTGGGCCATGACGAAACCCCTGTCCTCTTCCCAGGTCACTCTCTCCCTTGTACCCAACTGGGGTCACCGGTGGCCTGTTGGTGGCAACACCACATGCTCACAGGGGTGGTTTCTTCTGGCTGCACAGCTTCCCCCTCACACAGCGTCCACAGCCCACCCACAAGGCTCCACAGTTCTTTTGAGCCCCCAGCTAATGTAGGGCTCCTGGTACCTGCTGCCTCGGCTCCTGGTGCCATTGACGGTTCCGTATTTATCTGTTTCGGGTCCGTGTCCCTCAGCTAGTCATTCAGCGCTGTGTGAGCAGGGCCTGGGCACTTGCTGATGTAAACAAATGGTGGCACCTGCTGATTGGACTGGACACCCGGGACAAACGCCTGCTGGCCAGCTCATTCCTGAAATCCTGGCCAGGCCTGCCTACAGTGGGGAGCTTGCTTAGGCCTTTAGCTTTAGGCACACAGGGAATGTGAGCAGAGGGCTGGTGGTGAAAGGGGTTCAGTCTCCTGGAGCAGGGCACCAGCCAAGGAGGCACAGAGTTGCTGAGGTACAAGCCAGGTCAGGGTGTCCTTGGCTTCTGGTGCTCTGCCCTTTTTGCTGGAGCCTGCCTCTTTGATTGTGAGGGTCCCCCAAGCCCCCAACCAGCCAGCTCACCAGCAGCTATGCCAGGGGCTGTCAGTCGAGGTCAGGGCAGAGGCAGGTGTCGGAGGTGGATGTCCCCTGAGGGTTGCAGAACTGGGAACTGTTCCCTGTCCTGCCCCTGGGCTGCCTGCCTCCAATAATGCAGCTGTCTTGAGAGGGCAGCCTGTTACTCATACCAAGTACCTTTCCTTTCATTCCATTTAGTTTGGGGTGGAGCGTATTCTTCTCTCTCCCTCCCTCCCCAACGTGACACCCACTGCCCCGTGACTGATGCTGTGTGATCCTCCCAAGGTCCAGGAGCCCCGTCACATCTCCCTCTGCTCCTTCTCAGCACTGGCTGATGGGTAGGAGGGGGAGGATTTATGAGGCTGAGCAGCACTGAAGTACAATACAACCTGTTTTTCTCCTCCCAGACTGGCTGTCTGAGGAGCAGGGGCTGTGGGCGGAGAGAGCTGATAGGCAGTTTCTCTCCCTGCTTCCAGGGAACTCCCAGCGGCTGGGGGCGGAGTGGCAAGAGGCCAGGGACAGGTAAATGCACCTCTGCTGGTGGGAGCCGTTTCCTCTTAAACACACTGCAGCAGAGTGGCCTCCTCTCCCCCATCCTCCCTCACCCCCACCCCTCTCATCACCACAGATGAAATAGTCAGTGTGAGAGCTTGTGTCTCCCGATAAGATGCAGATACTTAATTTTCTTTGCAGGGGAGGAGAAATAAGCTGCCCTGGGATGCTTGGGCAGCTGAACAGAGCTGACTGGCACTGATGGGGCAGGTGCAAGGCTGGAGCGGCTGGCTTGCCCATCACACTCATCCTCTCCAGTTCATCATGAGGTGGCTCTCCGCAGCCTCGGTGGATGTAAGAGGTCCTCAAGGCCGGAGTGACTAGTGTCTGGGTGTCACGACGGGCCCGCAGCCTCCCTCCCTGCCTTACTCAGTGGGTGACTCTGCCTGTGATCACTTCCTAGTGGCTTTGGAGCTTTGTCTCTGCCACAGCTCCCCGAACCTCCCAAGGCCAGTGCATCAAAGGACAGGCACCGTTCTGCAAACTGTTTCTGCTCCCAGGCAAGTGGCAGGGTGTGTGGGACGTCAGGGAAAGGCCTGAGCGTAAACAGCTGGTTCTTGGTAGAGCATCTAGTACCAGGCCTGCATCACAGCAGGGCTCCCCACATTCTTGTCAAATGAATGAATGAATCAATGAATGAACGCTGGGGATTCCGAAGGGTGTGGCAAGCAATATGGAGGCAGCTCCGCACAGGCTCTGGCGTGTGCTGCCCAGCTGGGAGCACTGGCTCTGCCACTTGCTACCTGTGCAAGCGTGGGCATGCAGCTTGATCCCTCTGTTCTCGTTTCCTCATCCATACAAGCGGGGGTGATAATAATAATAAACAGCAGTTAAAAGAAAATATAATAAAATAAATAGCAGTTATGTGTAAAGCAGTTAAAATACTGCCTGGCACATAGTAGGTACCATAGGCGTTTTTGTTATTATTATTAAGACTAGATAGATAGTTACTCCAAGGAATTGAATGCTACTTTTAACCGGAAGCTGTGGATTAGATTGTAGGCATTTACCCTCTCCCCCCACAAGCCCCTTCCACACACACAGACCCATCTATTGCAGTAGTCGGCAAGCTTTTTTGGTAAAGGGCCAGATAGTAAATATTTTAGACTTCACACATTACACAGTTCCTGTCACAATCACTCAGCTCTGCTGCTGCAACATGGAAACAGCTACAGACAGCGTGAAAGTGAGCGAGCAAAGATGTGCTCTAATAAAACGTTATTTACAGAAACAGGAGGCTGGCTCAGTTTGGGCCACAATTTGCCAAGCCCTGACCCATTGGGATGCTACCATTTTACAAGACTGCTCAAATTCTACCTCTTCTAAGAAACCTGCTGTGAGATTTCACTCCCTGGGCTTCCAAAAGACAGGTTTTGGAGGAGGCTTAGTGTTATGGAAAGAAGAGGCAGGAATTCTGGGTTTAAGCTCAGCCCTACTTTAAGCAAGCACTTAATACCTCCAGAACCTCAGTTTACTCTTCTGCAAAACGAGTATAAAATGTTTCCCCTTGTTTAGCTTACAGGGTGTTGTGAAGATCAAACAGAGGAACACACTACTCAACAAGGGGGTCTGTATGGTGCCGCTGGTGGCCAGGGCAGAGCTGGGCACTCAGTCCATGCTGACGGCACTCAATCCCAGTGGTGGTATTCGGTGCAGAAGTCACAGCAGACATACTGCTGTGTGTCAGTCTGTGTACTGATCTTCCTGGCTAGGTGGAGAATCAGGGAACACAGGCCCTGGAAAGAGAGGACAGCATTTCCTGGGACAGAATCTACAGAATGCTAGTCAACTTGAGGGGTGTTGCAGTCAGAGTGCAGTGGGTCTGAGCTGCAGGCCAACTCTGAAGTTTTCAAAAGGCTATCTGATGAGAAACCTGTATTAATTTCTTGGCGTGGAGGCAGAAAATCACCAGATTTGTTGACAACAGGTCACAGAAAGAGCCACTTCTCTAATCTCCTTCCATTCCTGGAAATTGGACATCACAATGCACCCCCTGCCCAGACTGGCACCAGGACTGTCCAGGGAGACAGGTGAGCCCATGGATGCTGCCACAAGGTGACCCATGCTCTAGGGCACATGTGTCAAACACAAGGCCCGCGGGCCAAATCCGTCCCGCCAGGCCTTGCAATGTGGCCCGCACGGCGCTGTCATTACTGCACTCCGCTGCGTTTCCATCACAATGACAGTTTATGACTGTTCAGTAAACCATTCGGCCCGCGATTTAGGCTGGATTTTAGATTTTGGCCCCTTCTCTGATTGAGTTCGACACCCCTACTCTAGGGCTTTCCTGGGTTTCAGTGAAGGGGAAAGCCTGGCATCCACTGACCCTGAGCTCAGGGAGCCAGGGAGTTGGCAGAGTCAGAGGGGGACTTGAGATCCAGGCCCTGACCAGCTCCCTCACAGTGCAGAAAGGCCAGTGCTGGGCAGCGCCATCCGGCAGGGGCTGGGTCAGAGCTGGCTCAGCACCCAAGCTCCTGTACCCAGACTCACTCTCCTTCATTATGTCGATAGGCCTTCAAAAGGTGGTCTATCCTTGAAGACGATTTTCACCAATGGAGGAAGTTTTTGGCTTGTTATTTCTTGACACATCCCTTTTTTATTTAAAAATAGCAAAGTTGCCCTGGCTGTCTTGGCTCAGTGGATAGAGTGTCAGCCTGTGGAGTGAAGGGTCCTGGGTTCAATTCCAGCCAAAGCATATGCCCGGGTTGCAGGCTCCATCCCCAGTAGGGGGCATGCAGGAGGCAGCTGATCAATGATTCTCTTTATCATTGATATTCCAATCTCTCTCTCCCTCTCCTTTCCTCTCTGAAATCAATATAAATATATAAAAATGAAAATAGCAAAGTTGAACCCTTCTGGTTTGGCTCAGTGGATAGGGCGCCTGCCCGTGGACCAAAGGGTTCAATTCCAATCAAGGGCACATACTTTGGTTGCAGTGTCCTTTCTGGCCTGGGCCCTGGTCAGGGCTCATGCAGGAGGCAATCAATCGATGTGTTTCTCTCACATTGATGTTTCTCTCTGTGTCTTTCCCTCTCACTTCCACTCTTAAAAATCAATGGGAAAATATCCTCAGGTGAGGATTAACAACAACAACAAAAATAATAAACAATAGCAAAGTTGCTGAGTGGGTCAGGAAAATGAATGGATCCAGTTAAACCTCAAATAAAAACAATTCAGGCAAAAATCACAAACGTGTCCTGGGAAGACTGCTCTCTCTGCCCCACTAAGTAGAAGAGCCGCTGAGGGCCAGAGCTGAGATGGAAGAAAGAGAAACCAAGGAAGAGCTTCGTAAATGACCTTCATTTCAGGAGGAAGTGGAGTAATTTAAACAGCGGGGAGGTGAGAAAAGCTACGGAGGGAGTGCAAAGGGGACTTTCTGGGGACAAGTAAAAGGACTTGCAGAAGCTGGGTGAATGTGCCTACTCATTCATGGCAGGCACTTGGGACACAGTGGTGAGGAGAAGAATGATGGTCTGGCAGCCTCTGGTACACAGAGGCGCCTTCGGGACATCCAGCTCATTCACAAAGGCTGGAATCTATGAATGAACTCGACTTTGCCTGGTGCTGTCATAAGCTCCATGCTCTAATACTTTTGGGCCCTTTGAGCTGTCTTTCTCCTGAAATTCTCCTCCCTGCCATCTCAGTCTGACGACATCCTAACCATCCTCTCATTCACTCCCTCACTCATCAGTATGTAATGAGCACTCAGATTGTGCCAGGAGCTGGAGATCCGACTGTGAACAAGACAAACCGAGTTCCTGCCCTCCTTGAGCTCATGTCTGGGAGGAGGTGGAGGTAGAGAGGAAGGCAGACATCAGTCACTAGTTCACTCCATAGGTAATACTGCAAGACAATCACATAGCTGCGGTGAAGCCGAAGTATAGGGTGTTCGGAGCATGTGACGGGATCCAGCCTAGTCTGGGCAGCCAGGAAGGGCTTTCTTCAGGAAGTGACATTTGGGTGGAGCTCTGGGGGCTGAGTATGAATCAATGAGGAGGGGGCGGAGGGCATGGCAGGAAGAGCTGCCAGAATGGGTGCAGACTCTGGCAGGGAGAGGGGTGGCTTCTTTGAGGACATGAAAGGCAGACATGAAGAGGGGGACCCAGTGGGGCGCAGGGAAGCAGTGGAGGCATGGGAGGGGGTATACTGACAAGACTAGAGTCATTGCTTGAGGCCATTGACTTCAGAAAAAGAGAAAGGAGGGAGAGAATCAAGGTGATAAACATGAACCCCCAGCTGAAGGTCAGAGTCAGATAAGGTATAACGGTACAGGCATGTGAAGGCACTAGGGAGTGGCGGGGTCTGTGGAAACCTAAAGAATATATATACTGTACCCAAAGGTATTTAAATTTAAGATTAGTTAAAAGTTGTTACTGATCAAACAACAAACTCTGCTGGCCAACACAGTCTGGGGTACGTGATTGTCAGGGAACAAGTTGCCTGGAAACAAAATATTTGGAGGAGGGAGCTGGGAACTGCTTGACCATAGAACCAGAAAAAGAGCGAAGGAGCCCTAGGGTCCTGTTCCTCAGATAGGTTGCTCTCCACTGTGCCCCTTGTGCCCGCGCGCACCCCCCCCCCCCCCCCAGCTTGTGTACTGGGCCTCATCTGTCCCTAGAGTCACTCCCCTCTCTCCAAAAGCAGCCAAGGGCAGGATGGTCACTGCTGATTTACCTGCATGGTGAGATGGGACAGGGCCCCGAGCAGCGGTGCTTACATCAGGAAGGCCTGTCCACTGTCCCCCTGCCAGCACTGTCCCCCTGAGCTCAGCGAGACTGGCAGGCTCCCATCACATGCAGATCTACGGGGGAAATAATCAGAAAAAAAGCACAGCAAGACGTTGAAACAGATGCATAAACGGAGAAAATAAGATCAGAGAACTGACCTGCTCATTGATTATTTCAGCGATAATTTCCCAGCATAATTTTGGGTCATTTGCATCCCATAATTGGCTCTTTCAAAACATGAAGGAGAGGGAGCATATTTAGAGACCTCCTCTGTTCTCCCTTTTGACAAAATACATGGCTGAGCTTATTATAAAAGCAATCACATGTTGGATCAAAAAACCATTATTGCTTTTCCCCCTCTTTGCTCTGATTTAAACATCCTCACACGCACGGAGGGGTTTCCTGCACCTGACCTCTGCTGTGTTGTGCAGAGGGAGGGTGCTCAGCTTTCCCTGTGTTTGCTTTCCCTGCAGCTCTGATGGAAAACTAAAATAATTTTGCCAGCTCTTTGAAGGGCAAACCTCTCTCTTTACTCCGCGGGAGGAAGAGTTTTCCTCTGTCTCATAAAGAAACATTTTTAAAGGTCATTTCAATACATAAACATTTTTCTTACCACACACATGCATGGAATTTGTTGTTTTTGCCACCCCCAACACAGAGAGCAGAGATATTCCTTGATGGGAACTCACTGTCTGAGCCAGAATTTTTAAATGACAGGTTCATGAACAGTAAGTCCCCAAATGCAGTGAAAATGTGTGCCCTCTTGATGGTCCCATGTTCATTTCACTCAATGCCAGACCAGCACGTGGTTTATGTTCATATATCTACTCTTTTCCTCTCAGTCCACAGGACTCCAGTGAGGCTGACTTTGCCTTGAGTCCCAGAAAAGGTTGGGACAACCAGAGAATCACAGTCTCTGGTTGGTTCAGGGATGGTCACCTGACCAAAGACTGGCCAATCATAGTCAGTTTGGGCCTTTGGTTCAACTACAATACTAGGGAAGAAGGTTCTCTCCCTTCTGTGTTGTACAAAAGCCTGAGGAGCCACGAGGCAAGGACTGTCATGGCCATTTTGTCTCCACAAGGGGAGGAGGAGGATGGAGCCAATACAGCAGCCCTCCCTTATCCCTTTTCCTTTCCACCGTTTCAGTTTTTCATGGTCCAATATTAAATGAAAAATATTAAATGGAAAATAAACAGTTCATAAGTTTTAAATTACATGCCATTCTGAGTAGTCTGATGAAATCTCAGGCCTTCCCACACCATCCTACTCGGGATGTGAATCATCCCTTTGTCCGGTATATCCTGGCAATATACCCTACCTGCCCTTCAGTCACTTAGTAGCTGTCTCAGTTACCAGATTGTTTATCAGAGAGAAGGGGCGGGGAGAGGGAGAAAGAGAGAGAGAGAAAGAATGCATTCACATCACTTTCATTGCAGTATCCTATATAATAAAAGCCTAATATACAAATTGACTGAACTGCACACTGACCACCAGGGGGCGGACATTCAATGCAGGAGCTGCCCCCTGGTGGTCAGTGCGCTCCCCCAGCGTAGCGCCGCTCAGCCAGACACTGAGTTCATGGCTGGCGAGAGCCTCTCCCATCTCCACAGCAGCCTCTCCTACCTCTGCGGCAGTCGGACATCCCCCAAGGGCTCCCATACTGAGAGAAGGCACAGGCTGGGATGAGGGAACCTCTGCCCCCCCCCCCCAGTGCACAGATTTTGTGCACCAGGCCTCTAGTATTGTTGTAATTGTTACTATTATATTCTATTACTAGTTATTATTGTTCATCGCTTAGTGTACCTAATTTATAAACTAAACTTTATCATAGTATATATAGCGTTTGGTACTATCTGCAGTTTCAGGCACCCACTGGGGGGTCATGGAACATATTGCCCATAGACAAGGGGCTTCCACTGTATATTACAAGATGAATTAAGATAAACTGAATCCTGGTGACATCATTTGAGCATTTGAATCTATCTATGCCTAAAGTCAGCCCTCCCTCATGAACTCCTACAGCCCAGCCAACAATAGATTTCCAGTTTTTCCGAGTCAATCTGGATTGGGCGTTCTCAACCTTCTGGATACCATCTATCCAAACATAAAGCAATGTGGCTGGTTCCAGGATACAATTCCAGCAGTATCTACCCCATATTCTCATATCTGTATGTTTTCAATTTCTTAAAGCACCTTGATCAACGTGTTATTGCATGTCATGTCATCCAGACAGTTCTCATGGGAGTTTTCCCATATCATCTCCATGTAATAACTGGCTCTCCAAAGTGAGGTGGTGGTACACAGCAGAGCCCTGATTTCCCAGCAGGCCCCAGAAGAGCCCGCCCTTCCCACATCCTCTTTTTTGAAAATGAAACATGAAACATTCTCCTAACTACTCAGGAAACAGTCTAGAGAAGGACATCGAAACGCAGGGGTTCTTATTCACAGCAGCCTCGCTTGTAATGGGCAAAAATTAGGAAAAATCCCAGTGCAGCCTTTGGAGTCTCTACATAGTGAAGTGTATGAAGCCTTTAAGAATAGCTAAAGATCCAAGAAATTCCAAGTGAAAAGGCAAACATTGTGTGTGGTGTGCTGTTGTCTTGAGGTTTTACAAAATGGCAAGGCTATACACACATGCCATCTGCAAGCTTGGATATGCATAGACTGTCTGGCAGAAGCCAGTGATAGTGGAGAAGGGGCCTGGGATGCTGGAGACGGGGATGAGAGAAACTCATTTCCCTACCATATACCCCAGCTTTTCCCTTTTGAATTTTGTACAATATACGTTTTTTAAACCTGTGCTATATATTTTTTAATGAGATTGACTAATTTAAAAAAAAGAATGACAAGAACAACTATAAAAATATACCCATTTCAGTGTGGTGCTACACACAGGGCTCTGAGCTGGTCTGTGACTTGGCTCCTTCCCACGCTAGGGTTTGTTCTACTTCAATGCTGATGGGGTTGGGGTGGACAGATTGGGAGTCAATTTAGAGGGCTCTTAGAAGGGAAAGCCAGAAGGGCTATTGAGACAACTAGGATACATTTAAAATGAAATATTTGAGGTGGGGAGGCTGCTGAAAGTGGTGATTAAGGGGATGCAGGGCCCTACAGCCGGGAAGAAAGAGGCAGCTGGTTTATTTCCTGAAGGAAAAGGAAGGTCCTGGGTCCTTGGTGTATTCATTCAATGTCTTCACCTTTTCATTGTGTGTCTTCCGCCCAGTCATCTATCTGCGCTATGTCTGCAGAGGCCAGGGCCGTGAGGACCTCACCCTCTAACGCTTGTTTGGGACCTTATTTTGGACAGAGGGGTATATGGCTTGAAATCTTATATGAGAAAAGTCATTTTAAAGTGTTCTAAGCTCCAGAGGAGTGAACAGAAGAACAAAGGATGTAAGAACTAAGAACCCTATGGACCCCATGCCATCCCCTGAGGAGATGGATCAGAAAGGCAAGGTCCACAGCAGGGAACAGCAACAGGAGCTGGGAATCCCCTTTGACTAGGGCAGGCACCAACCCCTGAGGAGCAGGAAGGCTGAACAACAACCTGAACAGGCACCTGTGGCTCAAGAATCAGCTTGTTGAGGGCCAAATGCTCTTCGCAGCAGTGATGATAACCACAGTGATGACCAGGAGAGCTCGGGGTCCTCTCTCATCTCCACAATGTTGGGCACCAAGAGGGGCAGGTGCTGCAGACAGGAACTACTCCAGCATCAGGATGTCACTGAATGTATAGGACGGTCTGACCCTGAAATGTCCTGCAGGTCCCAAGGGGGAACGAGATGGACAGAGATGAGTTTCACCGATGTCTTGGTTTGAAGCTGTGTCCTGACAGTGTTCACAGCTGTTCACTATTCCAAAGTGTGAACAGTGTACATCTACTTACCTAGTCTGCTGGTGGTGGCCATTGGCTTCTTTTCACTTTGCTTTCATCACAGATCAAGGTGCTTTTCATCACTGGGTTCGTGTACACATTCTCCTTGGTTCCGAAGACGAGATCTCTGAATGAAATTACTGCTCATGGCCCAGATTTATATTCAGCTCTAGCAAATGCTTCCAGAGTGTTCCAAAGGCTCTCACTGGCTTGTTCACCCACCGGAGAGGTCCTCCTGCTCTGCATCTTCACCAACACTGGGAATTATGAGACTTCCTCGTTTCTGGAAATCTGGTGGCTGGCTGGCTTTCCTTGTGGTTTTAATAGTATTTTCCCTGGTGATAGTGAGGCTGAACGCTCCTCACATGTTCACTGGACATTAGGATTCCTCATGTAAAATGTCTGTTCATGTTTTTTTGTGTTTTTTTTTACCCATTTTTTTTTGAATTGATTCTTATAACTTCCTTAGTAATTAATTTGCTGCAAACATCTCCCCTCTTCCCATTCTGTGGCTTTTCATCCTTCTGTGCCTAACCATGAATAGAATTTCTTGAATCTAATGTTGGCTACATCATTGCTTCTCAAATTATCTGTGGGTGATGAACCCTTCCTTTCCCCACCCCTCTCACTCCTATTTCCATCAGTGGCACATCGATATGTTCTAAAATAAGATTATGAATATAAATTAAAAATCTGAAAGACCAAAAAGGTACTAAGACAAATTGTCAAGGGCATCTCTATGAGTGACTTTTAATTCTCTACTAGGTTTTCTTCAAGTGAAGCACCTGTATTGAGCCAGACACATTTAGACACGCGACAGATGCTGTAGAGCCTAAAGTGGAGGATAAAGATATCTGGCTGGCCTGGAATGCTGAGAACAGAGCGTGACAGAGGAAAAGTTCGAGCTACCAGACATGAAAAAGAGGAACACGAAGACTAGTGTAATGACAAAATGTTCTCAAGCAGAAAAGTCTGAAAACAACCAGATTAAGAATGGAATACATCCGTTCCTAGCATATTTCTTGCCATATGAATGGTCTACCAGAATCAACAACAGGGAACACAGTGTTCTTACTCATTTACATGCCATCACGCACAATGCTCCATGGGTTTATCATTTTGGGGAAGAAGTCTGCTAGCATCAGAGTTGGGAAATGCAAGTCAATTAATTTTAGACATAGCAACATCATCTATTTA